GCGGTTCTTACCTGGCCAGGGTGTCCTTGATGTCCTGAAATGGGGGAGAAAGCAGGAAAAAAGGGGGGTTAGATGTGCTACATCCCCCCCAAAATTGATCTCTGGGGCTAAATCGGTCCCAACCGCGGGGATCCCAGCCCTGATCGCCGTTGCCAGCGCCGATCCCGGCCCCCGGCAGCAATCGCAGCCCCGGGAATCCTGGCCCTGGCCATGATCCCAATCCCAACACTGATTCCCTGTGTTCCTGTTCCCGGTGGTGATCCCATCCCCAACACTGATTCCCTCCCCAGTGATCCCATCCCCGGGGGCAATCCTGTCCCCAGAACCAATCCCGTCTCCGGTGATCCCATCCCCAAAACCAACCCCTCCTGGTGATCCCATCCCCAAATCAATCCCATCCCTGGGGACAATCCTGTCCCCAAAACCAATCCCATCCCCAGGGATCCCCATGCCCAAAACCAATTCCATCCCTGGTGATCCCATCCCCAAATCAATCCCATCCCTGGGGACAATCCTGTCCCCAAAACCAATCCCATCCCCAGGGATCCCGTCCCCAAAACCAGTCCTGTCCCCTGGGGTGATCCCGTCTCCAAAACTGATCCCCTTCCCAGGGGCGACCCCTTCTCCAAAACCAATCCCATCCCTGAGGATCCCGTCCCCAAACCCAATCCCATCCCCAGGGATCCCATTCCCAACAACAAGCCCGTTCTGGCCCATCCCCCAAAACCAATCCCATCCCCAGGGATCCCGTCCCCAAAACCAGTCCTGTCCCCTGGGGTGATCCCGTCTCCAAAACTGATCCCCTTCCCAGGGGCGACCCCTTCTCCAAAACCAATCCCATCCCTGAGGATCCCGTCCCCAAACCCAATCCCATCCCCAGGGATCCCATTCCCAACAACAAGCCCGTTCTGGCCCATCCCATCCCTGCGGCTGATCCCATCCCCAGGGGTGATCCACCCGATCCCGATCCCATCCCACCTTGAGCATCTCGGCGCCCGACTGCAGACACTTCTCCTCCAGCTCGGCCACGAGG